AAAATAAAGAAAAAAGAAAAGGCATGTAACACTTCCATGGAATATTTTTGATGTAGGAATGTAGCTTGGAGACTTAAAAGAAGTTCTTAACAGGAACCCATGGGGATGATAAAATTTCTCTAAGCAGAACTGTAGGGTTTGCGAGCAAAAGCATTGCTTTTCCCTTTAATAAAGAGGATTTGTTCAGTGATATCCTATACCAGCATTTTTTGTGATTACAACTCTGCTATTAGTTATCAATTGGAATATAACCATTTGGATTGAGGAAAGACTTAGTTATAAATAATGCAAGGAACAGAAATACGGGGAAAATTTAGACCAGTAAAAATGTGTCATCTTTATTCAAGTGAATGTATTTGACCTAAATATTCCTTAGATGGAATATTAAATAAGCTTGTCCATACCTCTTTTATTCTTCAAGTACACAAGGGGTAAACTGGATCCCTTCCCAGCTTTTTGCTTTAATGTCCTGTTCATCACATTTCACAAAATACTATATCTATGATTATCTCAAAATTACATTTTCTAAAGAGTAGATTGTACATTACTGGATCGGCATGCAGTTGTCATAAAGAGCATTTTCGAAGAAGTGTATTGGGATTCCATCTTGGAAGTGTTGAAGAGTAGGCTGCTTTTCAGCATGTTTTTAATGTGGGTTTTGGGGAAGCAAGGCAGTTTTAGACAGGCTGTCAAGGAAGAGAGATTTGGGGGAGTGTTTTGCTTGTTTTCATTGATATCTCTTACAGTAGAGACATTTTTGCCCACTTTATTATTTGGGGGGGTGTCATCTATAGAATACATAGTGTGCTTGTAGAACTTTTAAAAATTTAATAACATCACTTTAAAGTAGATAATATAAAAATAATCCTTTTGAAAATTTTTGACTATTCAGTCCTTTCCCCACACCAGGCTCGGGAATTACAAGCCAGAGTGCTTAAACGGGCGCAGATAGAACAGCTGGATGCAGTTCCTGCACAGAAACAGTTAGCAGCTGAAATTTGTGCTGACATTGCAAAACATTCCACAGCCCAGCGAAACTATGAAAAAGCAATTAAATTTTACAAAGAAGCTCTTGTTCACTGTGAAACCGATAACAAGGTCAGTTCTCCCTCTTACTATTTTGCATTGTTTTCCCATTCAGTTATTATATCTCGCAATACATTGTAATTTCTGAATATCCACAATGTAGAAGTGGATTTGCAATTATTTCTTCTTTATGATATACATAGACCCTTTAACTTTCTCACCTGCATTGCTTATCATGATAAAATAATTGTATGTTCTGCCAATTTCTGTCTCTTATACAAACTCCTGATTCAAGTGGTGGTCTGCATGCACTCTGAGTTGTCCATTAGAATATATATTGGGCTTGTGTTCACATACCAGTTGAGGACATGTAACATACGTACATTGTTAGTGGAGATTGTTTCAGTGTTGCTTGTTGCCTGTCCTCTGGAATGAGGTATTAGTAATTATAGTCAGTTGAGACAATTTCTCTCTCTTCTTTATCTGTTTTACAAGCTTTAGACTTTTATCTGGATTTGGTAGGATTCCCTTTTTAGTCACAAAATGTTTAGTGGGGTTTTTTTTTCAGATTAAAAATAAATATATTAATATATTTTTTGTCAATTTTCCATGATTTTCTCTCATAAATCAGTTGTATATTTAGGTGTATGTGAAACCTTATTTTGCTGCTTCTTATTGTACAGCTGTCAGATTCACCAGCTGCTAAATTATCCGCATATCACCTGGTTTTAATACTTGTACTCATTGTAGCTTTGGGAAGGACTTAGATTCTTGAAACCACAACTTCAGCATCTTTGAGACCGGCTTTTCTCAAGGCAACTTGTAAGAATGAGGAAGAAATAGAAAAATGAATTGGGACAGGAATAAAAATATCCTTGAAGTCTTCAAAGGAAGGTGATTTCCCCATTCTACCATTAAAAAGACAGGGAGACTGCCTGTCATAGTATAGGTACAGCTATGGATTCTGTGGTATGCCACCCCACTAATTCAGTATCAAAGCCATAATCTACTTTTTTCTTTCACACCAGTACTGAAATGCCAATATAGCACTTTCTTTCATTCTTGCTAAAATCATACTATTGAGAGAGTCCCATTGTTACAAGATATGCTGTGCACTGGCATTTGTACTGAATATCTGCTAGATGCAGTTACTGGAGACTTTTGCTTTATTCCTGCTTTGCTAGCAACACAAAATACAATGACATCTTAGTAAATCTAGGACTGAGCTTCTGATTAAGAACTTGTTCCCTGCTCAGAGTTTGAAAGCAAAATACTTTTGGTTACCCACAACTAGTTTAAATCATAGAATCATAAAATAATTAGGGTCAGAAAGGACCTTAAGATCATCTAGTTCCAACCCCCCTGCCATGGGCAGGGATACCTCCACACTAGACCATGTTGCCCAAGCCACTGTCATCTCATTGTATTTCTATAGGTTCGGTAGGGTTGACCTTGTTTTCTTCCATTCATTTTTAAAAACATTGCTGATACAGGGTTTAATTAAATTCTTTTAGATTACTAAATATAAATTCGAGCTGTTAAACACCCACCTATTTCTTGATGTCTTCACAGAGTTTACTTTCTTTAAAATTACATATGGAAGTATTGGAAACTCCTATGAAGCTGTCTGTACCTTGTTTCATAAGAACAAAATCCTTTATGTTCCAGCTGAAGTAACTCATACAAGATTTGAAATGTTGTGTTAAAAAAAATTATTCTGCTAAATGGGGAGAGATTGTAGTCCATGTCATAAGGCTTTGGGGTTCTTTTGTGTTGTTTAGGTTTACATAGTTAAATTTAGTAGGTAATACCCTACCTCATTTGTCTGATCAGATAAGAGGCAATGCAGTTTCCAGATGCAAACTTGGAGCGGATCACCGACTGCATCAAGGACATCATTTCACAGTATCATTGTTGTTTGGGTTGGGTTGAAAATCTAGACTGCTTTCAGTAACTAGAATCTAGTATAGAAGACCATTCTTCTCTGACTTGCCTAAGGCAGGAAGCGTTCCTTGACCAGCACGTTGCTTTTCAGTCTTCCAGTGTTGTGCACAGAAGAACAGTGGCTCAAAGAAAATATTCATAGTAAAAATTCTTACATGCATGCTGTCTCCATATCACTTCAGTGCTTACCCACCTACCTTTCTGTTTCAGAGTTATATAGTATATGTTTGAATATGTGAAGAATGGGAAGTAGGAAGAAAACAGATGTTAAATATTATGCAAGTAGCCTTCATATCCTGAGTAGGATGTTCAAAATACTGGTTTGATTCAGAAGTGCTATTCGCAAGTGTAACCAGAGAAAAAATTGCCATGTAATTATAAGTTCCTCATTTTTGAAAACAAAATCAAAACACCGTGTAAAATTAAGCTGGAGTGACATTGCTTACTGTTTATCTAATGCTAATTTTGCTTTGTGATTGGTTTAACTCCTGTTTGCTTCAATAGGAAGTTGATTAAATCTGTGGTAACTCTTGTGTTTATAAACTTTTCTGTGGCAATTTATTCAGAATAGTCTATGATGGAACTTTAGCCTTAAGGATGCATGCTTATGTACGTTTCGGTTTGTGAATATGTGTTCTGAGGTTGCTTCAGAAATGGATCCACACATAGCCTTAATTCAAATGAGAAAATGAAATGCAAATGAGAAAACGGTTTCTGCTGGAATTTGCTTATACTCCAGAACTAATTGGTGAATGCTGATGAGGTATTTGCTTCTGTCAGGGAATTGAAAACTACTTGTATTTACATTTTTTCCCAAGAAAATTATTATTACCAAAATAATGTAGTCTTCAGAGCAGTTCTATCTGGGCAGCTCTCTATTGAATGTACCTCCAGGATTTCCATCTGAAGAAGAAAAGTTTTACCTGTTTTAAAGGTGAGGGAGTGGAAATGAATTTACTTGACCAAGAGCCCACAGGGATCAACAGAGAAAGCTCTCACTTTAGAAGAGAAATAAGTTTTCCCTGGGGTTATGAAGTCTCAGGTTAATACTTGTAGAACCGAACCAGCTTCCTTCATCTTTGAATTACTTATAATTTAATATTTTAATATACAGGCGATGTTGGAACTTGCACGTTTGTATCTTGCGCAAGATGATACTGATGCCTGTCAACATCAGTGTTCCTTACTACTGAGGAATGACCAGGATAATGAAGCGGCAACAATGGTACGTGCTATTATACTAATCCTGTATCAGGATTTTAATTTTAAAGTTTGTGTGTCTACAATGTGATGGATCCATAAAATGCTACTTTTAAGAAAGGCTGCAGCTTCTAATTTCAACGTGAAAAATCCATTACAACAAAATGTTTTTCTGTTTATGCTGGGTAATCATCCAGTGTGAAGTTTCTAGCAATCACAGCCCTTGTTCTATCTTCATAGCAAAGCGATACTAAACCAAGTGCCTAAAAAAAACTTCCAGAAGACAAGAACTGTGTAGTTAAGGTGGTTTTACATTCTTATACAATCACAGATAATCATATTCCTTCTTAAGCATTTTTAATCTCAGCTGCAGATTCTCTGTACAGGGTATGCATACTTGCCTGCTTAAGACACTGCTCAATAGACTGAGCAACTTTTGCTTTAATACAGTAGGAGCAAAATTATTTTAAGATGGGAATAATTTATTTTCTTACAGCAGTCTAACATCTGGAATTTATCCCAGTATGGTGCAAGAACAGGGGTATTTGTTATTAAATCTACTCTTTGCCTCTCAGTGGAGAAAAAAATGAAATAATGTGGTTTACTTCTACTGTTGAAGTAGTTGTCATATTTCTTTGTCCCTAACTTTAAACTAATTTTGCTTTTCTATGTGCTTAATCTACACATAATAATAAGGAAATTATTATTATTATTAGGAAATAAGAGTAAAACTAAAGAAGTAAAACCCAAGCATATTTGGAAGTTACACCAAAATGTTTAATTCTCTTTTGATTTCTACCTTAAGTGAAAATTTGAGTTATGAGCCTGTACCTGCTCATTGTTATCCTCTCTATCTAGAGAGAGAGTTCATTTTCCAGAGAGTAATGAAAAATCCAACTCAGTTTACTTCTTGCATAATTCCTGCAGCACTTTAAAGCTATAGTTTTAGCTCCCCACTTTTGCAGAACTGAAGTTAATTATAAATGACAATTGATAATATTTTGCTTTGTTTTCTCTAAATTGGTCCATATTGTAGATGATGGCTGATCTCATGTTCAGGAAGCAAGATTACGAACAAGCTGTCTTTCATTTCCAGCAGCTCCTAGAACGCAAGCCAGGTGAATATTTAGCAGTGATATTTTTAATTCTTTCTGACACACAGTTCTAATGAGATAGAAGAAGAAACATCAAAAAAATACTTTGATTAAAAAGAAATGTGCTATTTATAATGTAATGGATCCTATAAACAAAGACCATTACTGTATGTAAAAACATAAAGCTATTTTAGGGGAAGCTGAGAAAATTATTTGTTGTATATACACTAATTTGCTGCAGTGTAATGTCTATTGTTTACGTCAAGCCAAATATAGATAAGGTGTTATATACTTGTAACTGTAAATCACTTGCTCTTGTGTTTAAGATACGAAGTGCATGAATGCAAAGCCTTTTATTTCAAGATTAATAAAGGAAGCTTTCTTATATGAATTTGAAATTCCTATAATAAAGTTGCTCTTAGCAATTTGCAAATTATGACCAGAGAGAAAGCCACTAAAATCTATTAAGACAGTACTATAATGAATGTAAACCTTTTTAGAGGACTTTGTGAAAGAAGTCGTGAGAGCGCAGCAAGTGTTTTTGTTTGAGTGCTTTTGAAAGTGAAGTACAATTATCTTTATAAAGGTTTTCATAGAAATATCTCAAGTATCACTTGATACCTTTGTTTTTGTATCTGTGGTTGCTATGTAATATGCCTTATGTATTCCACCATATATCATTTTTGTATGTGAAGAAAAGGCAGGCTCTTTATTTCTTAAGCTATTCATATAGCAAATAACTAATTATTTGTATATTTAGATAACTATGCAACCCTCTCACGATTAATTGATCTCTTAAGAAGAGCTGGGAAACTAGAAGAAGTCCCAAGATTTCTTTTGATGGCTGAAAAACATTCTTCCAGAACAAAGCTTGAACCAGGATTTCACTACTGCAAAGGGCTGTATCTTTGGTAATTGCAATTATAATTAAGATAAGGTTTATTTACCCATTATCATTCAAAGGTGCTATATATAGTGTAATAAGTAAATGATAAGTAGTACAGCACTACTTTCCTTATTACTTAAGGTGCTAGGACTTCAGGAAAGTCTCCTTTTCTCTTCTGAAATACTTCCCCGTTAGCTCCTCTTTAAAATGAAGCTATCTTGTCTGTCTCACATGCATCTTTCATATTTCCTGTTTGTTAAAAGGGAGGAATATTCTTGCTGGTTCAATAATACAATATTACTTATTTTCAAATTTTAGAATTTATGAGGCTGGTTTTTGCCTGCAAAACCAAGCTACTCGCAATAATGTGTGTTGTTTGAACCTTGCATTATCAGTGTGTGCAAGTGTGTAATCTGTTTTATAAATACTTGGGTTTCCTCATGGGATTTGGTTGGGATTTGAGGCAGCAAATTTTACTTGCCCATCTTTAAATATTTATCTGTGTAGGTATACAGGTGAACCAAATGATGCACTCCGGCATTTTAATAAAGCTCGAAAGGACAGTGACTGGGGACAGAATGCAGTCTACAACATGATTGAAATTTGTTTGAACCCAGATAATGAAACTGTGGGTGGTGAAGTCTTTGAAAATCTGGATGCTGACATAGGGTAAGTGAATGCAATAAATATTGCAGAGGTTCTTCTGTCATCCCTTTTCTCTGCTGCTACTTAATAATGTGCCTTGAATTGCTGGAAGTTTGAGCTTATCTAATGCTTCAGATGTTCTACTTACTGTATATATACCATATAGTATATACTATACTATGTTGAGCCCATTCTAGACTGTGATAATTCAGTCTCAAGCAGAAAAATACAGATTTTTATGTGGAATCCTGTTTACTTGCAGTGCGAAAACCAGCTTGTTAGGTTGGAACTGCAGTGGTTGCAGAAGAGAATCGATGTAGAATGCCTATGTAACAAAACCATCTTGTACAGAATGGCATGCCTTTAGCATGGAATCAATACTAACTTGTAATTAATTTGGTGATTATTAAAAAAATAAGCTTTTACAAACACTTTCTTTCTGATGACAGTAATTCAACAGAGAAGCAGGAGTCTGTACAGCTGGCTGTAAGAACAGCAGAAAATCTTCTGAAGGAACTCAAGCCTCAGACCATTCAGGGTCACATTCAACTGCGAATCATGGAAAATTACTGTCTCATGGCAACCAAACAGAAGTCAAATGTTGAACGAGCATTGAACACTTTCACTGAAATAGTAGTGGCTGAGGTTAGTAACCTGTATCATTTCCTCGGTCTTCTCTCTCACACTACAGGATTTTTTGAACTAGTCTTGCGGTTTACGTTCAGGAGTGGTGGCATGTGTTAGTGCAATTAATTTTAAGGACTTTTTTTCCCTGTTAAAGAATGTTTTATATAAAATTTGGAAAAAAAAGCCATTCTGAAATAACTATGTCTTTTAGAAGTTTCCATTGGATTGCAAATTTATAACTCAATGCTAGTATTGCCAGTTACTAAAATGTGAATAGGCTATTCTGGTTTGAGTTGCTGGGTTTGCTTTTTAATTCCCAGTCTTGCCAACAGTGTGTCCAATGATGTAAGTTGATACAGTACCTTCATTTTGTAACCAGAAACAATTAAATATAAGCTGGCTTTATGTGATTCATGGCAACTTGACAAAATTGAGATTCCAGGCCAAGATTATCTATCTGCTTAAAATTCATCCTTATGATGGAAATCTTCATTATTTTATAGCTAGTTGTAGTCATTAGTTTTAGGATTAATAAGAGATGCTCTTGTTACCAGCACCTTTCAGCAGATTTTATTTAAGCACATTTAGACACATTTAGTGCGTAGGAATGCCAAGAAATACTTAAGTTACTACTATCCATTGACTCTGTGCTAAACCGCTCCTTGGCTGAGGGGAGCATACTGATGGTTATCTTGTGTATAAGGCAGTTCTGAGAATCACAAGGTGCCTCCAGTACTGGCTTCCAAGTCCTGCTCAGTATTGATCTGACATTCTTTGAATATTGAATGGTTTTCACATGGTGACACAGTTCCAGCAAGAAGAATGCTCTAGTCTATTTAGTCTTCTCTCGAGGGTCACATAAAACACAGTTTTAATCTTCTCAGAAATCAGAGGTTATTGATCCATGCTAGGTGTGACGCTTGAGGGAGAGGGGAGATCAGCTGATCATTATGTGGAAGAGGGGCTTTTGGTGGGGTCTTTTTTCGTTTTATCATTTTATTTTATTTAACCTGTTATGGCAAGCCTATTTTACAGCACAACCTTACAAAGAGGTGTAGGTGCAGAATCCAACAGTGAGCCAGGAAGGCAGAGAAAAAGAAAGAAGCTTCTAAGTTAGCTGCTGATAGAGCTACTCTCCACATTTAGGAGGTAGTATTGGGATGCAAGCCCCATTCTCCTCTATACTGCATGCTAATAAAGGCAGGATTTTAAAAATCATGCTTGCTCCTGCACTTCTTACTGCTTGTTTGTGGCTCTTGCATAGAATGGTGGCTTTTAAAAATCCTGTTTGTTATACATACCTTTTGGATACAGGTAGTTTAGACTTATAATTTTAGGAGCTGTAAACCTAATAATAGGAATCAGTGTCCCTGTTATTGACATTTGACAGGCACTTCTAAAAGTAGAAAATACCGCTTGTATTGTAAGTTCAGGTGAGTTTCTATCTATCTGATGTATTTATTTGTGTATCAAAAGGATAGGTCTTAGTGGTATCAGAACGCTTCTTGTTGAGATGAAGTGCCTGTGGATGCTTTCAACATATCCTGAGCCTGAAGAAGATAATTTTGAGCTCAAATTATATTCAGCATCTTAATTATTTAACATGGTGGTTATCATGGTTAGTCTTACAGAAATAATCATAGAATTAGATGGAAAACATGTTTGTAAGTTTGGATGTTCTACCTTTATTTCCTGAGATTTAGCTTTTAGTTTAAGTTTTCGGATACCAGGTGGAAGTCTTACTAAAAAAAATAATAAATGTTATAAGCAAAATAAAAGCACCAAGCAGTCACTGCTTTTTATTGCAGAAGGATCATATACCAGCACTTTTGGGAATGGCCACAGCCTACATGATCTTGAAACAGACTCCACGAGCCAGAAATCAGTTAAAACGAATTTCAAAAATGAGCTGGAATCCCATTGATGCAGAGGAGTTTGAAAAGAGTTGGCTTCTGCTTGCAGATATATATATTCAATCTGCAAAATACGATATGGCAGGTGAATTACTAAAGCGATGCCTTCGTCATAACAGGGTAAGTGCACATTTAAAGTAACCTTCTATTTTAATTCAGGTACTTTGCCCTTGAAACATGATTCCAAAATATGTTTCCTTTTCCAATTGCCTGGTGTTTAACTTATTAAGGAGAAATAGACCAAAACAAGCCAGGAAAACAGCAACTTCACACTGGAGGATAGTAAATAAACCTGTAAATGCTGCTTAGTCATTTTTATTCATATTCTGTAATAACTTCTGCAAGTTTTAGCTGTGGGGACACTAGAAGCTTAAGGTGTTTATGGAATGTCAGAGATGCACTTTTCTAAGCCCCGCAAACCTGATAAAGAAAGATACAGCCGTATAGATTCTGGAGTCTATAGGAACAAACACAGATCTCAGCTTTTGTGCTGATTTCTCATAATCGCGTATTTTCATCTATAGACTTTGCTTTCCCTCACATGAGGCATATCCAGTAGTTCCACAGATGCTGTGCGGTAGGTTCAGGATGGTATTTATGTTGCACAGATTTGGTTTGGAGAAGGACCTGATTCTGTGTATTTCTTGTTTGAATAAGATAATGTTTGTTATTCTGTCGCATTTCCTCAACCTCCTTGAGAGCTAGACTTTTTTGAACCTTTATTCTTTTTATTTCTAAATATAAAACTAAGAGGCAGCTACAGTAGTTCTTGGTATAATGTATCATGTACTTCTGCAGAGATGCCCCTTAAAATAGGATGTACTACATTTCATTTTTACAGAAAATGAGTTTGCATTTTAATTAAGAAAAAACTCTGCCTTAAGGTCTGTTACACACTCATCCAGATCACCAAGGGAAATTGCAAAACCCATACTACTGGAGGATAAACATGAGTCATCTCCAAAATAAGACACATTTGAAATAGATGGTCTGTTGAGCAGTTATATACCACAAATGACACTTTGTTGCAGAAATTTCTAAGCTGCTTTAAAAACACAGCCTACCAAGGAATTTGTTTTCCTCTAAAAAGTTTGAGTCCCAGGAGGAACCTAGATAAACAAGCTCTGTTTGATAGGAAGGAGCATGGCAAAATAGAAGTCTGCAACTCCAGTTCCTTAACAAAACAGCACAGTAAAAATACTGACTTTTCTCCAACTTGCATGCAAAGCAGCTAAGCAGGAACTGTAGTATCTTGTTAATTCACAAAACAATATTTCACATGGTGTTCTTCAATATGGAAGATACTATTTGATTGAGAAAACACATTATAGAATCATAGAATCACAGAATAGTTTGGGTTGGAAAGGACCTTAAGATCATCTAGTTCCAACCCCCCTGCCATGAGCAGGGACACCACACACTAACTATGTCGCCCAAGGCTCTGTTCAGCCTGGCCTTGAACATCTCCAGTTATTGTGATTAATTAGTTTTTAAGATTGCTTTTAGCAGTCAGAATTGATTGATATGGATATATACACACACACACACACAGTTTAAGTAAATAGATTGAATGAAAACTTCTTCATAAAAGCCTAGTATCTTATAATATGAGTTTGTTTTTATTTTAAAAGACTTAGGTTTGGCTAGTGAGATCCCAGTGAGCAAACTTTCTGTGAAATTGGGGTTTCTATTTTATAGCTTCTCTTGATTTTGTACTTTTTGTTTGTCACAGATGGGAGAGGGAGTATATTTTCATCCTTATCTTACAGGCATTCCCTTTCCTTTAAGTGGAAAATTATAATATGAAAGTTTGCAAAAATAAGGCTATGAAAATACCCTTTTAAGAAAAAGTGAAACAATATTTGTGGAAGATAATACAATTTGGACTTGAAATGTGGCTGCCATAGGGTTATTGTTAACTGAGAGAGGTATCTACAGGGTCTAAGCATCTTTGAAGGAATAGTTGCAGTGTCCTCTGTGATGAACTCTGTACTTGATTTGGTGTAACGTAGGAAGTCACCATGCATAATTCTGTATAACTGATTTGTGCTACAGATGTTTCAAATCAAGACTGTATTGTCATCGAAGTTAGTATGAGTATCATTTATGCTTTCCAGTTGTACAGATTTGAAGTATTTAACCTGTCAGTGTTGTTACAGGTAAGCTTACGTAAATAAAATTTGGAGGGAATATTTATATTTTGCAGTCATGCTGCAAGGCTTATGAATACATGGGATACATAATGGAAAAGGAACAAGCATATAAGGATGCAGCAATGAATTACGAGATGGCCTGGAAATATGGAAATCAAATGAATCCAACAATAGGTATGTATACATAACCTATAAGCACAATTTCGGGCATTACAGTAAGAATGAAACAGCTGCCCTTTACTGGAAATACTGGTTTTAGTTTTCCGTAGGGTATCACTGGTTTTCCTCGCATGAAACCCACAGATATTTAAAGGTGTAGTTAACAGTCATTTGGAAAGGCCCCATGGCAAGAGGTAGCAGCTTTATGATATTTCACAAGTTTCTGGTTTTGTACAAGGTTTGGTCTGAAAGGGTTTTAGTTTGCTTTTTGTTAACAACTTTATCATAATTAAAGCATTAAACTTTAATAATGTATTTATAGTAATGCAGTATGTACTGTCTACTATAGTAGAGAACCTTTTATATATAACCTGATATATATATGATATATGGCAGATCATCAATTTGTTTCCTTCATTTTGGTAATCAGACAAATTATCTATTTATATGGGTTTTATATGCATAAGTAAGGATTTTAAAAATTAAATATTTAAATGTTTTTAAATATGTCTGGTTTAAAAAAGGTGGTTAACTGAAAACTTGGGATGCTATTAAGGTTCCACTTTGGATGGTTAATTCAAGTCTACACTAAACTGTCACATTTTTAGATTTATTTTAATATAGGAAACCCTTTATGAAATACATGCATAGGATGAAATGCCCTTTCTTACTCAACACCTATAGTCTGTCTGTAGGTACCAGTGCTGGTGGTTTACAGAAATTCTGTTCCAGGTTTTGGCCTATGTTTGTGGCCCCTCAAAAATGCATGTTTCTTGTAGTCTTTAATCTGTGGTCTTTTTTGTGCCCGTAAGTTTTTTAGTGTTAGGATGAGATAGCCTTTGGCATGAACTGGAAAACCAGTGGTTTTTTAACAAGCTTGTTAAGTGTTACGTATATGAAATACACATTTTATTTCTTTAACTGTAACTCCTGAATGCTGCAGTGGTTTGGTTCATGATTAATCTATAACTCATATTAGATAAAAAGTAGTGTTTTATTAATGTAACTAAATGTTTTGTGGTTTATTTCCTGCTTTTATAACACAGTTAAAGATATAAAAATGCATATGCAAGGATGCATTGCCAAAACGCATTACCCTGTGTGCTGTGAGTCAAAAAACTAGGAGGGTCAAAGCAGAATGAAGGCTCAGATCTCGGTAATAAAAATAACTGATGGAAATCTGACTTACTTTATATAGGAAGATCTCTAGATATCTAGCTATGAGTTTGGATGCAGTGACTGTTCCTAGTTGCTCCTGCTCCCATAGTCTGATGCATGAATGTCTTGGTTTAGATATTACAGTTTTTGAGTAAATAAAATGTATTAGAAGGAAGAAGTTTTAATAGTAAAAAGGTGTGGTTTGGGTTTTTTTGAGTTTGTAAAGAACATATACAGAGACTTTGAAACCCCCTAGAAGGTAGGAATTGAACAAATTACAAAATCATTTGGCGTCTAGACAGGAGAATGCCTTAGTGAAGTTAAACTGTGGAACAATGTTGCATACAGAAAGATAAGAGTGTGATATTGACGGTACTACATACACATTGTTTTCTAGTTTACATACATTGTGAGAATTGTCATGCATAAAAACTAAAATGGTTAAAGCAGCACAAACTGCGTCTGGCAAGTAAAACTGTATAAACTGGTATCAGATCCCCCCCTAATCACTTGCTAGTGAGGATAAGTTCCAAAATGAAATATTTAAAATTTCAAGTTTTGGAAATTGTATGCTTGTAACGATGTTTTCCTCAGTCCTGATCTCTGTCCAGGCTGCTATACTTGAGCTGTATCTTTTATGTTGGCAGTATCAGCCTGACATGTTGCTATGCAACTTAGCTATGAGACTTTTTTTGAGTGGTCTGCTGGCAGTGGAACGGAATGGCAGAATTCCCTAGTTTGTTACTGCTATCCTGATTTTTTTTTTCCTTTTGTCCTTTAATAATGGAATTGCCTTTGCAGAGAGACAGTGTATTATAGGTCACAGCGAGAAACTCTGTGGGGTACCATAGTAATTAAGAGAGGGCAACCATTATGTGTTGTCTGTAGTAACACATGCTCTCCAGAATAATGTCTCCCTTTGATTCAGACGTAGCTATCAGTGTGTAAAGGACTCTTACTTACGACTTGAAGTGACTTTCAGTAGAAATTTTGATCTTTACAAGCTTAGGAGAGAGAATAGTAGAAACCAAACACACTAACCTGAGAAACACACAGTAACCAAAATTAATTAGTATGTGATCTTTTCGTTACTCAGTACAGAATTATCACCCCTTTTCTTTCCCTCTTTTTACTTACAGGATACAAGCTGGCTTTCAATTACCTGAAAGGAAAGAGATATGTTGATGCAATCGATATTTGTCATAAGGTAGAATTTGTATATGTACTTGATACTCTACTGTAGCAACGTTCTTTTACATGTTGGTCCTTATTTTGTTGAGTTTAAATTTCTAGAATACATGACTGTCAAAAAGACACCTAATTCATTAAATTGGATTAAATTAAATATCCTGTACATAATCTGCTTGATCCTGAGCTCCCTGGCCACCAGGTAAATAAAAGATAAAGTGGCTGACTATCATATGCAAAAGCATATTCAAATGGTAGCACCTTCATTTGGCCCTCTGCTTGCAATTTAGTAAATCCATACTGAATTATAGCTGAAGATGTTAATCAAATGTTAACATCAGAAGACACCGATAGAAAGAGACTTCCAGTATTATCTTTGTATGGTACAAACATAAACAGAGCATATGCAGAGTAAGAGGAAGGGTTGCTATTACAGAAGAATGAACATTCTGGATTAATAATTACTAGGATTAATAATGAAATAAATTATATTTGCTCTTTGGGTGGGAATGAAGATACCTAGAAAGGACAAATTGGATGGAAGCATAAGGGAGAAGAGGGAATTGAAGGTCAAGAAGATGAAGTGGGTAGAATATAGTGAAAGAGCCTAAGGAAGTGAAGACATAGGAGCAGTTTATCTCTGCAAAGTATACTTAAAACCTTGGAAATGTCTCCAGAGGTCACTGTTCTGAATGCATGCATTTCAAGCCACCCAGAGGCTTTATCCCTTGGCTGATGTCTTTCACACTGAGGTGACAGGGCAGTGTGAAAGGGAAGCAAGGCATCTTTGATAAAGCTGTTCGTGACCTCCATGCATGGGAGTCTCTAGCTACAGTTAAGTATTTATGGATTCTTAAAACAAACTTGTTACGCTGTTATTTTAGTTTTAGAATGGGTAAGCTTAGTGAATAGTGGGATAACCAAACAGTATTCTTTCCTTTTAGACACAGAATTTTGGGGTTGTTTTGTCTTTTGACAGGTCCTTGAAGCACATCCAAACTATCCAAAGATCAGAAAGGAAATACTTGACAAGGCCCGTGCATCACTAAAACCATGAGTTGGGGTTTTTCTTGTTGTTACTTATGGACTTGTTTAATCTGACTTCAGGAACTATGAATGAAATACTGCAGTGACAGAGACTGTGTCTGTACAAAAGCATTGTGAATATGTTTAACTTAATAACACTAGAGATCTGGATGATTTCCAGGAAAAATCTGTAGCCCTGAAAGAAACTGTATTTATTTTCATTCAGGAGGGAACACTGCTTACGTGTGTGCTATGTAAAGTGTCATCCAGCATTGTAAAAATGTTTTAAAGCATATAAGTCATTATTTTGTCTGTTTTAAATAGGATAGGTTATTGTTCTGAGTTCTATCTAATGCAGGTGCATTGTTAAGATGCTGAATATTGGTTTGTGTAAACCATTTATTGATAATTATAGTGTAATCTTTATTCCTACAAGTGTATTTCTAAATTAGAGGAGTTTATTTTTCATATATTATGAGCACATTTTATTTTTTTAATCTTGAAAAAACAGCTATACACATTGTTCTCAATGAAACTTACATTTTTAAGACCTTATGTAAATATTCAGTAAAGGCTTTTATAGATCATGCAAGTCTTACACAGAATTTATTTTATTATCATGCTTTCTATTCCATAAAGAGAAATCTTTTAAATCATTAATTTGGAGTATTTAGTCTTTCAACATTGTATGTGTAGACAGTATAGTCATATGTGCAGAAGTTAGCACTCTTTTAATTCATATAAAACACCTCTCTGGAGAAACCATTTTGATTACAGGGGGTTATGTTCTTGTCTCACATACAGAATATACCTGTGGATCTTTAAGGGAGCAATAGCATGTCATGAATGAATGAGAGGAGTAGTTTGGTTATTTTCAGTGGTGCAGAATTTGTGAAAAAACAGATGCCTGACAAAACCCTTTGTTCATACTGCTGTTATTTGGTTTAAAAGCAGCACTTGATCTTGTATGTATTTGACTAGAAAAGTAATGTTTTGGTATGAAAAGAGAATACTTGATGCTAATGATTAAGTTTCTTAATCAATTTCAATTTCCTCCTTAGGTAACCAGCTTTTCATGTTGACATTGTGTAAAGTAACTTTCATTTGATTTTGGGGTTCCTTTTTTATGACAACTCAATGTTAAGGCTACAAAAGGGAATCTATTTACAATTGTATCTCATCTTGCTTATCAATAACAGGGTATTGTATCTTGGGTAATTATATAGCCTCGTTTCCTAAATAAATTGATATGCCTCACTTACGCAATGATGCTACCTACTGGTGGTTTCCAGGCTCTGCGTTCCAGTGCTTTTTGAGCTGCTGGTCAGCCAAACTGAAATCAGTAGACGCATATCAGGACTGTAACATTTCTACGAGATTTGTGTGAATATTAGAATTGAGAAAAGACACAAATAAGTGGCCTCGCCTTCCCTAGGGAACCTTGAAACTTAAGCTGTAGCCTTATCCCTTCTGTTTGAGCACTGGCAATGAATGTGTATGTAACTGTACCAGGCACAGTACAGGCTCCCTGTTATTTTGCCTGCAAGCTGTGCAGCATGACAGAGCTCTGAGAGAGAAGTTAAGAGACTGGAGAAAAACTCATAGCATGGGAGTGGAATGAGGAACATGGAAGGATTTGGAAAATGCTGAGGCTGGGGTAACTATAAGGGAGTTGGGCTATGGGAGTGAGTACACTATGAATTACTAAACTATGCTGTTTTGGTGGTTTTGTCCCCACTGCTAAAAGAGTAAATACGCACACCTTATCAAGATGGTTTCTACAAAAAAACAGCATTTCTTTGTGCACAGCCCTTTTCATACAGGATGAATGTGGTTTTGCGTCCTCAGTAGCACTGGAATAACATTTAGCTGAAATTTAGAATAAAAATAGACGGGTTTATGTGAATACATGCAAGATGTTTTCAAAAAAGACAAGACTAATCAACATCGACATCTACTTTATTTTGGTTTTATTATGAGCATGAGATAGACACTACCCTTTCATAAGATGGGTAAAAGATTAGATCATGACAATGGTAAGATAAAGAAATTAGTTGATAGAAATTGAACTGAGACTTTGAGCTTTCACGGCTAACTTTTGGTGAAGAGCTTTATGCACACACCATGCAGGTAAAAGACCTCTGAATTCCCATTAGCCATCTCGAGCATATCTAGCCACTAGTGTCTTTTTGTAGATGAGGTCTTTAAAAGAAGATTGCAAATGAGGAACATCTTTGGAATGCAATTTTTTAAAAAATGGTGGCTATAAGTAGTCCTTTAGAGAAAATCTTGCTGCTATTTTTTTTTTTTTTTTTTTTAATTTCTTTCTGGGCACAAGGAATGACTTTGTTTCATTTCTCTTTACTCCCACTAATTGAAAGTGTTGATTTCAGCTTTCCTCCTGCTTTTACAGTTTCTTATTTTAAAAATGCATGTTCTAGTAGCTTGGGTTTTTCTTGGTTCCTTTCTTAATAAATGGTTTTGAATGGAAGAGGCTCCTGGGATGGAGATGAGTCAGTAATGCTGATTTCAAAGAGCTGCAGTCTTTAGTGTGGTGTTGCTTAGCAACCCATCTTCCAGTTTTTCCTTTGGTGAATAAAAGAGGAGAGTGAAGCTGTGGTTTCTATTGATTCATTCAGTGAAACTGGAAAGCTAAGCATCTTGTAGCTATAGCAACATAAGCCATAGGTGTCTCTTCTTCTCCTCTCCCTCTCCTCTGCAGGTATAGAATGCCTAGAATATTTTCTAGAGGATGTGTAAGTGTTTTTGGTAACAGTGTACTAAATAATGCTGCTGGTTTAATTCCCTACGGCTTTTTTCAGATTTGTACCAATACTAGAAAGATGGTCTAGAAAGTATCGTTAGGTAATTAGTATAATTAGCTAAAAATAACCAAGCTAGCAAGACTCTTCCTGAAAAACAGAAGTAATTTGCATTTTTGCCCTCCCTGTTTTTGGACTAGGTTTAATTAATCGCACGTCATTTCTCAAATGTGGCTACAGCAATTTTCAGAAAGGCTCGTAAATCAGGCAACTCTGCTTTAATAACCTAAACCTTAATCTTGTTACGAATTAGATGAGTGGGTAGCTTTATAAACATGATAGTTTAAACAGAGTTTATAGTGTTACAGAATTTGTGGAAAATCTTCTGAACTAATTATCTTTGAAAGTGGTCCAGGAGACATTGCAGGGGAAGTCTTGATAGTGGGGGTGGATTCTGGCTCTTTGGAAATTGATCGTAAGGAACTCATTAGTGTGTCCTCTATGCAGTGCTGAACAGGAAAAATAGGAAAAGAAATTAAGGAAAAAATTTCACTAGCAAGTACTTCTCCATCAGTTTGTGATTATACCACTTGTTAAAGGAAGATCGTCGCTGGTTTGCCCGTTTAGGCTTCTTACAACTGCAATTTTAGATTTCTGGCTTTATTTACTCTGTGGTTTTACTTCTTCCTTCATCTTGCAATGAAATCAGAACAAATTTTTTTTTAAAGTGACCTGTCTTAAAATGGGCCATCACTGCAAAAATCACATGCTTTATCTGTGCTAAAATTGGCTTTGGTAATTATGTGACCTAGTGCTTGCTGAAAGAGGAGCTAAACGAATGGTCTAAATCTGGTTCTGAAGAACCTTTATTTAAGGAGTGAGTATGCCTGTTAATGCAGGCTTCATTCTGGAGAACAGCAGCTTTGTAAATTTGCACACTAGAAATTTGCCTTACTTGAATTTTGTGCTACAAGAAGCTGAATGTTGGCTATGCATGTCTGAGGCGATGTAGTACTTGCCTTGTAGTACTTGTTAGTACAGTTCAGGCCTCGACTTTCCAACACGTAAGAAAGGATTTTACTATGCTAGAAATACCAGACCACACTAAATCTGATTAATTCCTGTCTAAATGTTCATTAGATGTTCCTGGGGAAGATGTATTCAATCACAAAGTACTGGTATTAACACTTCTGTCAGTGCTGTGGAATCAGTATCTGCCAACTCACTGTGTGTTTGCTGAGCCGATTTAGCTACCTGCAGCTCAGCAAGCTGAAGCAAATCAGCTTCGGAGGGCTGGGCTGAGACTGCAGTTGTAACTTTTATTTGAAAGCAGGAAGACTGTGTGCTCTACTAAGGGAAGTTGGGAGCAAACTTTGTGAGGTTATTCCTCGGTGCGATAGCCTTTCTCTCAAACTGTGATCTCACCTCTAAGGGACTGTGCGTTCAGTTTCCCGGCAACGTGCACCGAGAGCGCTTGATCAACCACGTCCTGCACGACATAACACTTAGGTGACTGGAGCAGAAACCGCAGCACCCCGCCGCGATGCTTAAACAGCACTCCGTCGTTTGGACGCTGAAGCACGCACCGAGGGCCGTGCCCTGCTGCGGTGCGGATTATGTAATTGTCTAAAAATCACACTGTCCTGCGGGTGCAGGAGGCGAGCGGGGCAGCGCGGCGCGTTCC